AAGTTAACGGAAGTTACTACTGGACCGTATCACTAAATAAATTGGTCAGGTGGGCGAGTCATAGAACCAACAAGAGAGGGCGAAGGATGATGGGAAGATGAAGGAGAAGGTGGTTGCTTCAAAGGATAGGACTTCCATCAACCAAGAGTCAGGGAGCTTCTATTATCTTGGATCCGAGCGCTCCCACAAAGCGATAGGAAATGAGGAATACTATTGCGGTGTAGTCCACGAAGATGACCGAGAACCCTCACTCCACCTTAGATCATGTCACTTATACCATTTCCGAAGTAACAGAAGGAGATAGTGTGGTAGTGCAGCTAGAGGGATGGAGTAAGGAGAAACCGCCAGATATCCTGTCTGAGTCGAGTGCTAGTGTGAGCTGCATGCATGTGAAAGACGTGAGAATGGACCCAGCTCCAAGTGGAACTAACATGAAGATGGTGGATGGCCTCAACTCTGAGGCATCTCCCACCTAACTTACCTTGAGATGGCAGAAGTGGCCTACTTTTCCTGTTATTGATGGTTAAGATCTTTGCATGGAATTGTAGGGGTGCGGTGAGCAAACATTTCCTGTGAGTTTTTAAGGAATATCAGAGGAAATATCATCCGAGTATTGTGATTTTAGTAGAACCTAAATTAGGGGTATCAGAGAAGAAGAGGTGGTACAAGACATGGGATTTGATGAACATTTGGTGGTTGTTGCGGTAGGGTACTCGGGAGGAATATGGGTGATATGAGATTCTAGCATGGTTACGATCATAGAGTCTGACAGAGGCACTCAATTTCTACATGTCCTTGTCTAGAGTGGCCAAGAGCAATGGTATCTGACGACAGTTTATGCCAGTCTCGCGTTAGTGCAACGACGTGAACTGTGGAGTTTTCTACGTGAAATGGCCGAGGAAATAACAGAACCGTGGATATCAGCTGGTGGCTTTAACTCAATCCTCCAACCACTCGATAAACTAGGTGGCTCCCCATTTGATACTGCTCGTGCATGGGAATTCCAAGATTGCATGAAGGATACGGGGCTACTTGACCTAGGATTCATGGGTCCTCCTTATAAGTGGTTTAGAACGGGTGTAAAGGAACGTTTGGATTGGATAGAAGTATAGCTGACTCGGTGTGGACTAGCAAATTGCTGGACACGGTGGTTAGCCATCTTCTACGGGTTAGGAGTGATCATCGACCCATTCTCATAATGGTGGACCCTTCCTTCCAAGGCCCCAAACCCATAAAGTTTTTGGCGGCCTAGCTAACGCACAAAGGGTTTACTGATATGGCGACATGACTCATGGTACCGATTTGGCGTCGGCTATTGCAGAATTTACAGAGGAGGCTACATATTGAAATCATGATGAATTTGGAAATATCTTGAGAAGGAAGAGTAATCTACTCAAGATGATATAGAGGATATTTTACTTTAGGAAGAGCTCCTCTGGTACCAAAAATCTCGGCTGGAATGGATCGCCTCAGCGGATAGAAACTCACGTTACTTTCATTCCAGAACCATCAACAGACGGTGGAGGAACAAGATTTATGCTTTGAAAAATAGTGCAGGGGAATGGGTGGAGGAACAAGTTGATCTCCTCGATATGGCGAGACAGTTCTATGAAACACTGTATACTGATGATGGTGAGCCTTTCCATATTTTGCAGGCAGCGTTTGAGGGTATCCGAACGCAATCTTGGATCCCGGTCGAGGCTCAATTCTCAACTGAGGACGTCCATAATGAGATTAATGCAATGGGCAGACTTAAGGGACCAGGAAAGGATGGCCTAAACCTATTATTTTACCAGCAAAACCGTGAACTTGTGGGCCCTGCCATGGTGGAATTTCTACAAGCTTGATGGAGTAAACTAGCGAAGGTGAAGGAACTGAACGAGACGATTGTGGTCCTGATTCCCAAGGTGGCAAAGCCCATTAATATTAACCAATTTCATCCGATCAGTCTATGTAATGTCACGTACAAGATGATAACCAAGTGCCTGGCGGAGAGAATCAAGCCAATTAAGCCCAGCTTGGTGCATGAAATGCAGACAAGTTTTATTCCAGGCCACCATATTACTGACAATATTTGTATTTTGAAAGAGGTAGTCCATTCAATACGGGCTAAACAAGGTAAGGTTGGCTGGATGGTCCTCAGAATTGATTTTCCGAAGGCGTATGATAGGATTAAATGGAGTTTTATTTGTGATACTCTGCAGGCAGTGGGTGCCCCCCGAGCAATTTATCGACATAACCATGAGTTGTATTTCCTTTTCCACCATGGAGATTCAGTGGAATGGTGGGTGGCAGATTTTTTTGCACCTTCACAGGGACTACGCCAAGGCTTCCCGCTTTCTCCTTACATTTTCACATTATGTATGGAGAGACTCGGGCATCTCATCTCGAAGGCAATGGCACAGGGCGAATGAAAACCAGTGCGCTTCCATGAACCAGGTACAAGTGATCTTGCGGTGCCTAGAGGAGTTCTGGGTGGCATCCGCGTAGCAAGTTAGCAGGCCCCAGTCTCGTGTCTTCTTCTCGAGGAATGTCACAGCAGCCGAGGGAGGAGCTCTAAGCAACGCACTTGACATTTTGGAGACGAAAAATCTCGGCCGATACTTGGGGGTACCAGTAATTCATGATCGTGTGTCCAAGGCAACATATACTGAGCTCATTGATCGGATTGATGCGAGGTTGGCTGGATGGAAGATTAAATCATTATACTTGGCGGCGAGAATCAAACTAGCTCAGCCAGTCTTATCGTCGCTCCCAACTTATACTATGTAGACTTCTTTCCTCCCAGCGTCTGTAAGGGAGTATATTGATAAAAAGATCCACGGATTTATCTGGGGCAGCTCTGAGTAGGGAAGGAAGGTTCATCTTGTGGTATGGGATACACTATATAAGCAGAAGGAGGAGGGGGGACTAGGTATCCGCAGTGCCACGCGGATGAATGAGGCCTTTATGATGAAGATTGCGTGGACGTTGATGACTTAACTGGACCAATTATGGGCTAGTGTTATGAGGGGTAAATATTTTAGGCGAACGGATGGAGGGTGGCAGCCGAGGGAAAAGGGTCGATTGTCAAATTTATGGAGAGGAGTATTAAGGATCCTTAACTACATTCCACAGGGTACGATGTGGAATATCCGAAGTGGGGCTCAAACTCCATTTGGATAGATGTTTGACTCCGGGATGGGCCACCACTAGCAAACTTTGTCATTGACCTTCCCGACGTAGCGCGTGAGCTTACAGTGGCCGAATTAGTGCTAAATGGAGAGTGGAATCTATGATATATTTGGGTGTTTCTTCCCGAAGCTCTAGTGTCACAGGTAGCACTGCATTCGGTCCCTGTGGAGAGAGATCCTGATACCCTAATTTGGCGACTTCCCCCGACAGAGCGTTTCGCGATTAACTCGGCCTATGACCTCCTTAGAGAGGCGGGGGGAGCTGTGCATTCACACCCTATTTGGAAGAGAGCATGGCTGATCGAGGGGCCACAACGACAATACATGTCAATAGGGACTGTCCATATGCCAGACCGGTTTGGTCGGAGGTGTTGAAGGAGGAACTAGAATAGGACTTTTTTGAAGCGGCATTATGAAGTGGGCGCTTCATTACCTTGCTGGCCGGAGCAAAATTATCGATGCCTCTTTGTTAGCCATCTTCTGTTGGAAACTCTGAAAAAACTGGAACGCTTGGGTCTTCGAGAAGGCGTTGGAGCCAACGAGGCTCCTGCCTCGTCAAGCAAACAAGCTAAGCCAGTAGAGCAGCATCGCTATGAGCAAAGCACAAATGGTTATGAGGTAGCAGTGGGAGAGAGTTATAAGCTATGTCAACTGGGGAAGACCTCCTAATGGGTGGGTTGCATTGAACACAGATGGTTCCGTGATACCATCATCAGGAAATGTGGCGGCTGGAGGAGTTATAAGGGACAACGAAGGTCATTTATGAAAGCATTCTCAGTGAATTTATGTGGGGGTTTGATAACATATGCTAAGTTAGAAGACAATGCACCTAGCCTCCACATAGCTTGGGAGTTGGGAGTGTGGTAGGTTTGCTTGCAGACGGATTCATGGACGACAGAGTCAGTTTACAGGTGGATTGAGGAAGCCACCCCCACCACACGTTGGTTTTGGCTATTTGACGTTTACTGGCCAGGAACTAGGAAGTCTGGATTATCCATGTGTTTCATGAGAGCAACTATGTTGGTGATTTTATGGCATCTGTTGGCCATTTTTTGCCTATTGGGGTTTATATTTTGGACAACCCGGGACCTATCTTGAGATACTGGTTGTAGTTTGAGCAACTAGGGGTTCAAACATCCCATTTTATTAATAGATAAGGGTTAGAGCACCCCTTTACGCTCTGCTTGTCACAAAAAAAAAATGAGTTTTAATAGATCTAGGCAATGTTCTTGTACTCTTTGACTTTCTTGTTATGTTTTTTTTTTTTATGATTTTGAAGGTACAAAGATATCTAAGGAAGATTGGATCAAGATTAGAGAAATTTGGAGGACCAAATGAGCTATAAAGAGAACATTAAGGAGCTTTCGTGAGAAAGAAGTGGTCCACTAATGGAGGAGTCAACTATAAGTTGCTATATTATCTCAAGATAAGCCAATATGAGGAAGACTCGACATAATGTGAAGAAAGAAAAAGTCGCGACCAAAGCAACAGGTCCAACCTCCATTACATTAAGTTGAACCCAAATCGTCAGGAGCAGAAGTTTATGGACTAGGAAGCCCAATTCATGAAGAACTAGAGCGGCAGTTCCAACCGCCGCAATGCCACCTCTATCCCTAGGCCATAAGGAAGCATTTTAATGTTCATGGTTTACATGATGTAAATAATTAGCAAACTGAAAATTTTATACTTCACACATATCATTTAGCAGCATTACAAACATTTCTCAAAGCATCCATCTTCCCAAATTAAAAATAAAACATTTAATAATAATGATAACAAGCTTAGCTTACTGAACTTTAAGCTTAATTATTTCATAGTAATATATAATTAGTATGAAACGAACTGTTTGAACTCAAGACCAGAGCCACCAAGCTTGTCATCCATGACCGTAGCCAACTTCTCCACCATGGAAGGGGACAGGTAATTGACCCAATCCCCAACCTGCCCTTTCCTGAACAAGTGCTTGTTCTCAAAGGTCATAATCGCCCCACTCCCACTCTTGTTCACCTCCAAATCCTTGAGCTTCTCAAAGCTACAAAGCTTTGCAATCCCCTCTAGCACACCACTCTTCTCTTCCTCCAACGAAAATGGGCAGCCAAGAAAGTTGGCCAGTTTCCTCAAATGAAGCCCTTCATGGTCCTCTCTCATCTCCTCATATTTCAAGAACAACACTTTCTCTGGCCTCTCCAAGCTCTCCTTCCAATACCCCAACATATTCTCCCAAAATGGACCAAACCCAACCACCCCTTGGCAATACATCTCAAATGCCTCCTCCAAGGGCAAAGGTGGAAGGCCGCCCTCTTTCATCAGCTTGTTGGTATAGACCCACGAGGAGATGAAGGTGTCCAAAGGGTTCCTACATATGTACACAATCTTGCAACCCGACTTCTTGATGGGCTCTTGTAGAGCTCCGAAGGGTATGTGGGTTGCAAAGAGTCTCGGGTCAGGGAGCCCGGAGAGGTCGAGGAGACCTTGATCTCCATCAGTGTTTGCGTAGAGCTTGTACTCGAAGAAAGGAACAAGGTCATGAGGGTTTGAGACGAGCAAAGGATGGGACAGTTGCAAGTGGGCTTGGGGGTTTTGGTCATGTGGGCATTTGGATGAGGTTAGAATAGGGTGTTTGTCTCGGTTCGAGATGGCGAATACCAAGGCCTTGAGCCAGGTGGTGCCTGATTTAGGGATGGAGGCTACGATGACGTCGGTGTCCTTGACCTGGAAGTGGGTTTGGAAAGATAGGATGGCTTGAATCTGCTTGGGTTGGCACCAAAACCCTTTGAACTTGTAGAGGTAAGATGTTCTCCACCCTTTCTCCCTTGGAAGGGAAAGAAGCAACTCCTTGCACTCCTGGCTAAGCTTCTCGTCCTCTTCTTCTTGTACCCGGTTTGATGATGATTTGGTGGTGGTGGTGGTGGTGATGGTGGTTGCGGGTGGAGTGGCATTTTTCGCCGGCGCCATGTTGTGCTGGTTTTTCTTCTTCTTTCTTTTCTTTTCTTTCCTTTCCTTTCTTAGTAAGTATGTGGTGCACAAATTGGAAGGGTGGCTTTTGTGGGATGGTGATGGGAAGAGGGAAATGTCATGAATTTATAGAGGTGGACGCGAGGTTGCTACATAGACAAGGGAGGGAGGGAAGCACGTGGGTGCGCGTGAGGCCATTATGATTTGTGTGCATATTGTGTTGGGTCGATTTGGAGGCTAGCAATGAGGTAAACGTTTCGTTTCCCACAAGTGGGGTTGGGCTTGGGCTTGGGTCACGACATAGCCTGAAAATTAATTGAGGTGGATCTACATACAAAATATAAATAAATTACATATTAAAAAAGTAATAAAATAGAAAAGTTTATGTTAATATTAAAAAATGAGAAAAGTTGGAGTAAGAAGGGAAATGAAGTTTCATCTAAACCTAACGAGTTGGTCTAGTAATAGTACAAGGAGTACATTTACCACACTCCGAGTTCGAACTTTGGAGTCAATAACCAATGGAAAAAGAGGAAAGCACTTACCTTGAACTTGAGATCACTTATTTTGGGATGTCAATTACCAATACATGGCTAATTTTATCCAAACTCAAGTACAAAACCCGTTGAAGATGGGTAGGGTATGAGTGAATTTTATATGGATTTGGTGTTTTATATATGAGTTTGGGTAGGGTATGAGTATTGCTTCGGTTCCGTACTCTAAATGGGCATGGGTTGGGTATGAATATCCACGTACTTGAGGTTGTTTTAACTACACATACAGAAGCCAGACCTATTTGTAAGAACTTAAAAAGTTTAGTATCAAAATGTAAGACATTATTATGAGGTACCAAAATGTAATTCATCATAGTTTGAGGATTTATATGCAATAAAAAATTAATTTTAGGTACTAATCTAAAGTATTATTAAGTTTAGGTACCAAATTATAATTTGCAAAACTCAGGTACTGCAGTAGGTGAACGTCGAAGGGAAAAGAGATATCACTTTGAGCTTTGTTGATTTACTGCGTCATGATTTTAGTGAAAAAGATTGAAGCCATGGTATTTATTTAACTCGGCGATTAGGTCTCTCTACCAGGTGTCCTGCCCATGTCTTACCTATCGTCTTATTCCTTGCAAGGGGCGAACTTCTATTCATTTTATGAATTCACTCATGGATTAAAAACTCAAACCAATCCAACCCAAATAAATAGGTATGTGGTAAAGGTGAAATCATTTATTAATTAAAAGAACCAGGAGAAAGGAAAAGGGAATGGATACAGTCCACAATGGCTCAACAAGAACCAGCCAAAGCAGCCGCTAGGGAGACAAAAACAGTAAAAAGAACAAGAACAAGAACACCAAAACACTGAAAGCAAATACATCTCAAAACAAAACAAAAAAGAGCCGAAGAAGCAGAAGCAACAAAGCCACAGGAGCATCACTAAGTCATCAGCAACAGCAAACGCAACAGCTCCCCCAAAATACAGCAAAAACGCCAAACACTACATATTTAATTTATCTAGTATTTGGATTTCGTACCCAACCCAATTAGATTGAATAAGAAAATACCCAATTAGATTGAATAAGAAAATACCCAGACCACTTTGAATTCTTGACTATAATTTGAAAATTCTAACTTCTATACGTATCTTTAATTAGTCAAATTTTATAACACCCAAATACGAGATATATACGGTAGTTAAGGTTGGTTTGGGACCCACCCCATTACACACGGTCTCCGCTCCAGCTTGGGATAAGCCCATTACCATTTATGTCGGTGCACCACTACTAATCCTATGTCGACTAATGATCAGAGTCGATTATATTTTGACTGCTAGGTTTGTCCAATCCATATGTTCTAGAAGCACTGTTATAAAAATCGAACAGGATTAACGGATTAGCTAGTAGAATAGCTAAATTAGCAGTCACGATAGTGGTCTAGTCTATTGTTGGGACGGTTATTGATGAACCAAATGGATTTTCACAGTTCAACATAAAATCATATGCAGCGTCACGGTTTAACTGGTCCGCTCGTTCACTATTTTAACCACCATTAAAAAATATACTTTAACGTAAAATAAAATCATCAAATCAGAGTTATTTATTTATGTTTCCTCTTCTTATTTTCCAACCTCGTTATGTCGACTTTACGTGGTCTCTTACCGACTGGCACTGCAGTTTTTAACTTGAATTAAGAGAATCAAGGTTTTCTTTTGTGAGAGGGTTTGAATGATTTGTTAGATATTTTGGTGATGATATGAATTAAGAATTTTCTATTATAACTTCATCCATAAATTAGTATATCATACAAATCTTGTATGTTAAATATCATGAATGGTTCTATCGACGGTTTTGTAACAGTTAATCACTGAACCCTACCACTAACTTTTCCAGTTTAACTTCCGATCGGATTCTGAAAACAGAGTTTAAGTTGACTCTTTTTTACTTGATGATTACTATCGAAACAAGCATGATGTATAGTATATAATATACCTTAATTTATTTGATTAAATATTGCATAGAAGTTTGATACCAGCGATGTTAATTAGCAACAACCACGGTAAATAGATTCTAGCTAGCTATTTAAGGTTGGAGTAGTGAGTAGGATTTATGCAACAACAGTTTGGGGTCGATGAAGCACGTATGTATAGTGGCCATCGATCAAATTATGATGACCCCATGGATATGGTGGTTTTGTGCGTGGCCACGCGGTTGTAGATGATGCCAGGGGCTGTTATCTGACCAAAAGCGTGCAAGTAGACGAAGCTGCGCGCATGGCTGGGCTGGCCAGGGACAAAGAGAGGAATGTGCCAAATTATTGGCAGAAGATTCTGCAAGTTGGGCTACCTGTTTAGGGAAATAAGGACAGTAGTATACGTGTACCTATGAACAAAAATTACGCCAGCAGCTTTCTTGTTTTGCCACCATTTCCGTCCCTCATATGAAGTGATCAAGCAATGGCGGAGGAGGTTGTTTTGCAAGTACGCAGTGAACTGGGGGCAAGTTAGGTTCGGCACATTTTATTGAAGATTGATGAGAGCAAATGTATATCAGGCCGCTAATGTCCTATTTAGTACATAAATTAGAGAAACATAGCCAAGTGATTCTGCAACTATAGTACTATACTAAATAGTAAATAGTACTTCTTCTTCATCTTCGGACAGCATATGTATTTATTCGACATTAGGGGTCACGCTATACTCAGCTTTCAACTTAGGATTAACTAGTTTTGATATTTGAACAGTTGGTGTGACTTTGGTTCTTCTGGTTAAATCCATTTTGGCTATTTTTTTTATTGTTTTGTTTTTGCTTTGCTTTGTATTCATTTTTATTGTTTTTATAGAGATTATTCATAATTTTAGGTTAAAAATATTTTTATTCCTTTTACATTACATCTGATGTTACAAAATAGTGCTTCTAATATTTTTACAAGCCAAATACCCAACTGCTTAATCAAGTACTTTTCCGAGACTACCGAACGAACTAGTCAAATATATACCATATAGGCATATACGCATGTACATATTAAGAAAATATAAAAAAAGTGATCAAGTTATTGATTTGGATTTGCTGACAAAACTATTTGACATAACATCCCATCACAATTCACATGTATGGGAATGGGACCCGAGCTTAGCTCGTTCACAGGCTTGAATCGGCAGAGCTTTTATGGAAGTCGACAAAATTGGGCAGCTGAAATGGAAGAAGACAAGGCAGCAGGCAAGTGGTAGTGGTGGTGGTGGTGAATGATTTTAGTGAAAGCTCCGGCCGCCGCCGACTCCCGGCCCGCAATCATCGCTATCAAATACTTTCCCCGACACTAATAGTAAGCTCTTATTAATCAATCTGGCTTTGATTTACCGCCGACATATAGGTCGACTTTCTTAATACCTGAAAAATAATGGTTTTGTAACTTTTTAACTCATTCTAATTAATATTGAGCTAGTTTTGGTCCTATTGTAATTTTTCAAAAACAGCTTCTTGTAGAAACTTTTAGAAAAGTATTTTTTTTTTTTTAAAGAGTGTTTGGCTGGAATATCATAAGAAGTGCTTTTTAATATAAGAGGTTATGTAAAATAATTATAAAGGATTAATAATATAAAATATAAATAAAAATTGTAAACAATAAAAAGTAGTGAATATGGATCTTGTTAGGTTTTTTATACTAAATAATGTAATTTTATAATTTATTCTATTTTTAAAATGATATATATTAAATAAAATTATGTTTTCTTAAATAAAATTAAAATATGATAAGGATAATCTTATATTTTCAAAACAGCTTTTCGCAGAAACTCAAAAGTCGAGTTTTTAGAGGTGTTTGGCTCTGCTTCAACTTTAGAAACCGAAAAACACTTCTGAAAGTCGGGCCAAACATAGTCATAGTCTACATGAAGACCGCCGATAGGTTGGGATGAATAACCCATGTTTATTCACTATTTCATAACTCAAGCTCAATTTTAAGATCTAGCCATTTTTACAATCGTTCATAATGCACTATCTTACAGGTTGTAGGGAGTGCATTGATGGGGATTCGTAGGGGTCTAGTGCACTTTAGGGGGTGAGTATTGGATGTTTGAACCCAAAAATCTTTAGTGCACTACCTTTAGTCATTTCAATGATATTTCTTCAATAAATCACAAGTATTTGATCAATGAGTTTTAATAGGTGAACATAGCTCTGATTTCTTAGGAGCTGCGAGGGTATCCTGTTGACGGCGAGGAGGATCATGATGCTGAGATACAAACGGAGACGGACGTCGGTCAGCGTCGACTCACTACTGGTCTTCCTCGCCAAACCCTAAGGGCGACCGCAAGACACACCAGACAAAGAAAAGAGCAAAATAAACGGTACTGAGCCCAGGCTTCCCCGATGGAGTGAAAGAAACGCTGGTGGGCATGGGCGATGATAATCGGGATCGAGCCCCGCCAAGGGTAACCAATCCTCAGGCTTGGAGCTCTGGTACGGGGAAGACACGTAGACTGTTCAGCGACGTCGT